TTTTAAGTCTCATGATGCTTCTAAGTTTGAGTTCAAAAACAACCTAATCTATTTTGAAGGATGCCTATACATTCTTAAAAGAGAAGCACATTTACATGTTCTTTAAGTTCATCATGACTTTCTAGCGATCTGACATTTTTGGATACAATAAGACTTTAGAACTTATATCTAAAAAATTTTGGTGGCCAAAAATGTGGAAGGCAATGAAAGACTTTGTCTAGTCATGTAACGTTTGTTCAAAGATCAAAAACTCCTTGTCATCAATTCTATGAACTTTTTCAACCATTACTTATTTTAGAACAACCATAGTTTTTTTGTTTTTATGGATTTTATTATGGATCTTTTAGTCTCAAGTCCTTATGACTCTATATTTGTGATAATAGATTATTTCACCAAAATAGCACATTTTATACCATGTACAAAAGCTATCATAAGTGAAGAAACTGCCAAACTTTTTTTTGACAATATCTATTATTATCATGGATTACATACGGATATTATATTAGATAGGAAAATTTAGTTTGTATTAAGATTTTGAAGAATACTTTTTAAGATTCTAAAAGTAGACATAAAACTAACTTTGGCTTTCCATCTTCAAATTGATAGACAAATAGAGCGGATAAATTAAGTTTCAAGTAGTATTGAAGGTATACCATCAACTATTAATAAGATGATTGGACAACTTTTTTACCATTGGCAGAGTTTGTTTATAATAACACAATACATTCTTCTTTGCAACAAATATTTTTCTTTATTAATTATAGTTATCATCTATAATTTGATGCTTTTGATTTTTCAAAAGTTGATAATCTTGTAAAAAAAGATTTGACAAATGATTTATTTGAGTTACATACAATAATAAAGACATGACTAAACAAGGCTCAAGAACAACAAAAAAGAATGCAGTTGCTTATTACAAGGAACAACCTCATTTTCACATTGGTGATAAAGTATGATTACTTCATCATAATATTAAAACAATTCATCTTTGTGATAAGTTGGATTATTATAGACTTGGACCATTTTCTATTTGTAAACAAGTCAATTTAGTCGCTTATCAATTACATCTATTGGAGTTTATGAAAATCTATTTTTTATTTTACTTGTCTCTTTTAGAGCCATATAAGACAATGAATATTTTGAAAAAAAGACAAATACCATCACCTCTTATAGAAGTGGGTAATAATCAAGAATTTAAGGTGGAAGAAGTCTTAGATTCAAGGTGACACCGATATAGATTAAAATATATTATTCATTGGCATGGATACAATATTAGTGAACGTACATGAGAATTAGTAAAAAACCTTACAAATGCAGTATAAAAGGTCAAAGCTTTTCATCAACAACATCCATCAAAATCAAGATGAAGAATAAAAAACCTTTGCTATAAATAAATAAATAAATAAATAAAACAATTTAGAAAAGATTACATTCTACCTTCTATCCTTGTTTATAGTTTTTGTACAATTATGGCATTAAAAAGATGGAGAATTAACAGCCACCACATTCAACTCAAGAACCATCATTTGTTGACTTACCAGATAAGACATTGTGATTATTATAGCCTTTAAGACAACAAAATAGAAATAAAGATCTTCAAAAATGACATATTATTCCTTGAATAGATGGTGAGATATAACATGTTTGATATCATGACTTAATTAAAGACTCTTGATGTTTGGTGATTTTATTGGAGGTAAGAATGACTCTTGACAATATTACAAATATTTTGTTTAAAAGAAGTTACAAAAGTTTCAATAGTAATCAGATAATAGGGTGGTCTTCTTGCCCATAAATAAGACACTATCAATGGTTGAAAGGACCTATCAATTATCTTCCAAAGAAACAAAGATCAGAAAATGTGACAAATACAATTTGTTGTATCTTAGATTTCTTCAATATATAATCACTGCTCTTTATGGAACTTATCTCTAGAAGGGAGAGTTATGTTACGGATTTATATCTATTGTAATTATTATCTAAATAATATGAATATGTAGAAATAGGTAAAAATAGATTAATTTCATAATATCTTCTTGAAAAGCTTCTTAGAAGCTTTCTAGATGTTGTTTTGACTTTACATGTCTTTGTAGTTGATTAATAGGTTAGAAACTTAGTCAACAAGCTAACCATGTGTCACATGTGTTGATTGCTTGTAGAACAAGTTAATTATATGGCATCCATATAAAAAACTTGTTTTATAAGTTAAGATACATATCATGCAAAGTCAACACATTTTTGGAGATTCTATAGGACATTGATATATAGATCTTAGATAGATAATATATATATATATATAGATGCAAGAATGAAGCCTTCTTCATTCTTTCAATTCCTTTCTTACTTCTAATCTAGTTTCAAGAGTCTCTAATTTCTTTGTCTTTTAGTAATAGCTATTCCAATTTCTTTTTTAAAATACATAATTTTCTATTTCTACTTTGTCATATTTCTTTGAGAGAGTCCCACTTATTTATTTGCATTCATCGAGTTCTTGTCCTTGATACAATATGCACATGGATAGCATTATAAAAATTCTTTGACTAGTAAGTATTAAAATATTTATAAAATATTTATAAATTTATAAATTTTAAGAATTTTAAAATATAAATAAATTAAAATAAGATAAAAACTAAATTAACAGCATAAATAATCTAATACAAAGAAAATAAATAAATAAATATTATTAGAATATTTTTTTAAAAAAATAGATTTAATTTAATATAAAGATTAATTCAAATGATGTTTTTTTTAAAACCAAACTAATAAGAAAGATAATTAATGAAATCTTTTAAAAATTATGTTTAAAAAACATCTTTCATTCTATCAACTTCTATACTTTTTAAAACAATTTGGTTGTTGAATTCTCTTTGATCATCTATTTTTCTTTATTTTGTATATATATGATTTAAAAAATAATAATTATATAATCTTTTTATTTGATGTTGTATAAACAAGATAAATAATTATACATAAGACGGTATGCCTAAAAGAGAAATATCAAGCATATCACCTATAATGAAGATCATTGTGATTTTGGCTGAATCCACATCATTGTTACAAATAGCCTCACTTCAAAGAAGCATTTTTTTCAAAGACATGTTTATGAGCCAAAAAATATTTTTTACAATTTTTTTAAAAAACAAAAAAATAAAATATACAATAGAAATTTAGCTATAAAAAGAACTAGTCTATGCTAAAATCTAGTTGTTTCATTGAGAAAACACTTGCATGGATCCTCTAATCTTACAAATTTCTACTACTCAATAACTTTCTTCTTATTTGAAACATTTGCAATAATAAGAGTAATTGCTTTGAGCTTTATTATTTTAATGAAAGCTAATTTGTATACAAATGCTAGCAGTTGCTACCACCCACTACTTCTATATATTTTGCCCAAGTACAAAAAGAATATTTTTAAGGCTTATAGAGATACTAAGTATGATAAACATAAAAAATTAATTGTAGACATTTTGAATATAACGTCATACTTTTTGGACTTACAAATGCACCAATAACTTTCCAACATCTAATGAATGATGTTTTTTGAAAAAATTTAGATGACTTTGTTGTTTATTATCTAGATGACATCTTATTTTATTTTAAGATTCACTACTTTTTGAATTTTTAGCTATGAATTTTATTGGATCCATGACATTGAATTATCATGCTCCATAAAATCAAAAAAACATACCATTAATTATCATACAGTAAACTCTTTCTAAACTAATACTACGTTACTTAATATTCTCTTCGAGCTAATACACAAACACCAGTCCTACCATACACAGATACCACCATACAATATTGTATAATCTAATAATCTCCATAAACTAGTAGCATCCACCCAGTCCCAAAGATATTAGTTTAGAGAGAATTTATTGTATATGAAAACCCTACAATACTCATATCAATAAAGTATGAGAGCAACCATATCTGAAGAAATGTAATCAATATAAATCAGAGGAAGTTACCATCTGCTTACATCGGCGCGGCTTGCAACATAAGCAGAGACACAATCAACAAAGCGAGCACCAAAAAGGTGGACCTTGCATTTGTGTTCTTTCTTAGGAAGGAATAAACTCTATATTTTATATGTCCATTGAAAAATAGGGGTGCTTTTCAACTTCTTGTCATTCCTTCCACTATCTTTTTTATTTGTTTGGTATAATTTGATTTAATTTAAGTTGATTTTTATCTTTTATCTTTTCTTTTTAGTTTTTCAAATGACCTCCCAAAAAAATAAGATAATATTTAGTAGAATGGTTGATTTGAGATGCCAACTATGTTTTGAAGGATGTTATACATCATTGGCATAGAAAGTGCATGCAAGGGGGCATGTGGATATATTGGCTTTATGGATACCAAATCAAAGGGTTTCCAATCGAGGTATTGAATGTGTATGAGTAGAAGTTGGATGTTTCTTGCATGTAGGAAAATACAATATTTTAGAAGGAGCAAGAATTAGGGGATGTTGAAATAGTAGGGTTTTTTTTTTCTTCTATATTTTTTGTTTAGAAAAAAAAAAAAAAAAAACAAACAAAAACAAAAACAAAAACAAAAAAAAACAAAACAAAGAAAAGAGGGAAGAAGGTAGATACAAGAGAATGATGAAAATGAGAGGGTGGAAGATGTTTGTAATGTGGGGTGGATATGTGTAAGAGTGTAGGGATATTAGAAACATGATTGGAGTTTGGATGTGGGGTGGATATGGGTAAGAGTGTAGGGTTATTAGAAACATGATTGGAGTTTGGATGAGCAAATGTGGGGTTAGGCAAGCGAAACTCGTACGATGGAAAAGCGGGGTGACAAGAACCTCATGCGTGCGCGCCGTGGATGGACGAGCGGGCGAGGAGAAGAAAATGGAGAGGAAGAAAGAAAAAAGAAAAAGGAGAAGGGCAGTAAAGTAAGTGCACCGGCCGGGAATCGAACCCGGGTCTGTACCGTGGCAGGGTACTATTCTACCACTAGACCACCGGTGCTCAGGGGTGCCGTTGCGTCAACGCCGCTGCCGGGGATCGAACCCGGGTCACCCGCGTGACAGGCGGGAGTACTTACCACTATACAACAACGACTGCGAACAGCTTGTGACACACGGCTCTCCCTCCGAACCAGATGAGCAAAATTGCTTTCACACTACTTATAACACAAACCTCTTCCCGCACCGGTCCCACCCTCAGTATCCTCCTCGCCTGCCGTGCACCACCAGGCCGCACCACGCGGCCTCACCTTCAGGCCACGGCCCCTACGTGCGGGCCATCTCCCACTCCATACCGGGCTCCCCCACCATCTTCGTTTCATGCATCCACTCTTGCCCGCTCCTCACCTTCCATTGTTCATGTCTGAGCTCTTGTTTTGCTGCAACTGATTTCACAATCCATCGCTTGCTTGCCCAAACAGTTGCAGGTGTCAAAGTAAGTAGATGCCTTGTAGAAAGTATTTAGAGAAATAGTTCATTACTCAATTTAGGAATGGTGGATTTCATATTGCTGGAATTCGATATAGTCGTTTTCGAAATTGTTTTTTTAGATTTAATACAAGGATAACTTAATTTCCTAAATTGTGCTTATAACAAATTTATATTTTAAAACATATTTTTATTTCCTAAATGCAACTCTCTAAATCCATTTATTGCTAGCTATTGGATGTGGAACGTGATTCGAATTACGAAATTTGCAATGCAATAAAATTAAAGCCTTTGTTAACAGACAAGGGGGAAACAAAAAAATGAAAATGAAAATGAAATAACATTAAAAAAACAATTTTAAATATCATTTATTAGATATTGGAAAGTTATTGGTGCATTTGTAAGTCCAAAAAGCATTACGTTATATTCAAAATATTTATACCTTGTCCTAAACGCAGTCTTTCATTCATCTCCTTCTTTGATGCATATCAAATTATATGCTCTTTGTATTATTTATATAGATCTTACTTAATTAATTGATAAGAAGTTCAAATATCAAAAGTAGTGGATACCTATTCTTGATAGTGATTTTGTTGAGTTTTTGATAAGTGACATACATCCGCAATGATCCATTTTTTTTTTTTTTTTTTCACAAATAAAATCAGAGCTCTTGATAGAGATTTGGAATGACATATGAAGTTCTTGGTAAGATTTTCTTCAATATACTCTTTGAATTTAACTAACTCATTTTGTGATAAATTATAAATTGGTCCAAACAAAAGTTGATCTTTTTCTTGATGGTCAGTTGAATAGTCATAAGAATGATGTTCTAGTAGAGTATCCACATTCTTCTTTTCAAATACATCTTTAAAATCTTGATATTGGCTTAAAATACCACTTGAAGTCTTCCTACCATTAGAAACAGGTGCAACATAGATGACACAAGATAATCCTTCTTTTGCACCATACAAGAAAGTTCTTGCATCTACAAATACATGTTTAATTGTACTAGACTTATGCTTTTCTATTTGAATAAATATATTCTTAGTTATACTTTCAAAAAATTCAAGCCTACAAGAAATCCAATCTATTTTTGAATTATATTTTTCTAGCCATGATAAACCTAAAAAGTTTAGATTAGAGGGAGATCTAATAATATTAAATATTACAAAGCTACTATGACTATTAGTTGTTACTTCTATAGAAAAGATTTCATGAGTAACATTTTCCAAAGACAATGAATAATCATCGATGATTTCTATGTGAACAAGTTTAATTTTCTTTACTAAAAATATGTTATATCTTTTAGCAAATTATTCATCTAAGAAACATGCTAAAGCTCTTGAATCTAAAAAAGAAAAGGTTTTGTGATGTTTAGGTCCTAAAATGATATTTATTGTAAAACAAGGAAAAGATTTTGAAGAGACAATAAGACCATCATTAAATATTGTACAAGATTTCAATCACATGATCCTTATTGTAGTTGGACAAACTTGTTTTTTAACATATTATCTTTTTTGATAGCTATACACCTCATTTTGTGGTTGCGTTGCTTCTTTGGACAATATTGAGTAGTGTGCTAAGGTTTTCCATAATATAAGTATAATCCTCATTGACAATGATGAATTTTTTCTTACTCAATTAGAGGTTTGAAATGTACCACATCAATTTACATATTTTTAACTTTTAAATATATGTATTAAGAAGACATTGGCATTATCATTGAATTATAGTAACGTTTGAGGTGCACTTATGTAACTCTTGGATCAAAATTCAAAAAGTTGATTGGCATACCTCATAACAAAGTCAATTGCTTGATTTAATATTTGAGGGTCAAGTAAGTTGAATATCAATTTTTTTATCTCATATTATAATCTATAGAAAAATTGGCTATTAAGTGCAATATCATTTTACTTGATATTAATTGCAAGTTGTTAAAATTATAAAGCATATAACATTACCAATCAATTGTCTTGTCGCAAAATATAAATCTTATTAGTTGCAATACAAATTGCATCATATTTTCCATACATAGATTGAAACTTTGTTAGAAAAGCTTTAAAATTATCCAATATTAGATCTTGTCATTCAAAAAAAGATGAAAATCATGATAATGCTGAACTTGAAAGGAGTGTATCAATGAATCTAACTTGTAATCCTAGAGTTTGATAGCTTTGGAATTAAAGTTCAATCACAAGTTATACTTGATTGATAAATCTTCAAAACTTGAAGCTTGTGCCATCAAATTTTTTGAGAAATGCAATCTTTGGTTCTCTAACATTGGAAGGATGTTCTATTATAGAAGAAGGGACATAATTTAGTACAAATATTGAAGCAGCTCTAATCATCTCTATATCTTTGGTCCTTGCCATTCTTATTTCTCTTTGTGGTGGTAAATTGAGTTGATGCATTGCAAGCATTAAATCCCTCAATTGTTCTTATATTTGTATTATTTCACTCTTTATTTTAAGAAGCTCTGCCATGATAATACTTAAAGAATGAAAGATATCTAATATTGCTCAAAACAAATAGATGAGAAGACTTGAAAACAAAGAAAAAATACTAAGGACAATATCAATTTAGAAGAGGATAATCCACAATCCCTAATATACTTAAGTCTTATAAAAAAAAAAAAAAAAAAAAAAAAAAAAAAAAAAAAATCTATTCTTAATCAAAAAAAGATAAAACTCCAATATTATAAGTATACTCTTGTGAATCTATCAAAGATAAGTACTTAATGAAAGAAAATAAATAAGTAGGACTCTTTCAAAGAAATATGAATAAATAGAAATAGAAAAGTATATATATTAAAAAGAAATAAGAATGGCTATTATTAAAAGATAAAGAAACAAGAGACTCTTAAAACTAGACTAGAAGCAAGAAAAGAATTGACAAGAGTGAAGAAGGCTTCATTCTTGTCTTTATATATACTATCTACTTAAGATCTATGTGGCGATGTTCTTTAGGACCTCCAAAACTGTGTTGACTTTGTATGATACGTATCTTAACTTGCAAGGCAAGTTTCTTATATAAATGCCACATAGTTAGCTTGTTCCACAAGCTACCAATACATGTGGCATATGGTTAGCTTATTGACCAAGTTTCTAACCTACCAATCAACTATAAAGACATGTAAAGTCAAAATAATATCTAGGAACCTTCTAAGAAGTTTTTCTAGAAGATATTATGAAATTAATCTATTTTTATCTACTTCTATCTATTCATATTATCTAAGTAAGAATTACAATAGATATATATTCGTAACATATTGTTGCATTATCTTTTGAAAATGCAATCAATTTCTATGATTCTTGCATTCATGATAAAAGTAATGGTATTTAGTTTGTTGTTCAAGCAATATGCTATTTGAGATTATAAAGAAGTTGTAATAAAATAAAATATGGGATAATTATAAAAATTAATTAAATTTTTTAAATCACTTAATAATTATTTTATTTGAATATCTAGACCAATTGATCTTATAAGAAGCTAAATTAATAAAGATTTTTTTTATTATTTAAAATTAAATAAATCTAGTTATATATTAATTACTACCAAAATTAAATAAAAAAAAAAATATTATTGTGCATTCTATGTATCTTTTATTGAGCTTTATACTACAACCAACATATTGGAAAGAAGGCAATTACTACTACTTTTTCTTGAAGTAGATAACAAAGAGTATAAAATAAAAATAATCTTGGATTTAAGGCATTTCTAAAAAAAATTAAAATATCTTATATATTAGCATAGATATGATTTTAGTGAATGTATACTAGCACTCTCAAAGAATCTCATAAATGCGTCAATATTTATTGTGGTTTTTTATCAACAACATCTATAATAATAAAAGATCAACTATTAATAATAATAGAATCTAAATCAAAGATAAAAAGTTTGAAAGATCTATTAGTAGAACTTCATTATAACATAGAGAATCAAGAACTATGAAGTTTATTTAAAGATTTATTATTTACAAAATTCCTAGATGTAGGATTTAAATTATTTTAACTTTAAAAATATTAAAATTATAATAAAGATCTTTAAAAAAAATATGTCATTCTTTGAATAAGTAATAAGATATAGTGTGTTTGATACCATAATCTTAAATAAAATTCTTGATGCTTAGTAATACTATCAAAGGTACATACTACTTATGCTAGAATGCTAAATATATTATTTAAAGATAGTTAAAAAGTCCTCAACAATCTTCAAATAACAAGATGGTCTTCTTGTCTTGGTACAAATTATTATTGATGATTGAAGTGGCCTATCAACTATCCTTGTACATAAAATAGATCAAAGTTTGTTGTTAATACCATTCAATAAATCTTCAATTCTATAAACTTATAAAATAATTTGATTGCTGATTGTAGAAATTTTGATTTGGAAGAGAGGAGAATGTAATAAATGTTCATATTACTTAAATAAATAGAAGTAAGTAGAAATAATTAGAAATATATCAAAAAGATAATATTTTCTTTAAGAAGCTTCAAAAAAGTTTTGTTGGTGTGGATTAGATATTTGGACTTTTATAGATATGTCTTTTGGTTATCAAACTTAACATCAAAGTTTTTAATTGATAAGAAGCTACAACCTACAATTTTTATTTTGAGAACAACCTATAATTTGATGCTTGAGCCATAAGCCTTGCAGTTGTTAAGAAGTATCTAAAAGATGTTTTTAGTAGCTAGTATATATAAAAGTAAGACTAAGGCCTTCAATATCATTAGCATCTTTTTTATATTCTAATCTTTTTATATTCTAAGATTTTCTTATTTTTTTTAATTTAATAATAGTTACATTGATTTTTATTGAATTGACAATTATATCATTTTTTCTTATTATCTCCCTTCTTTAGTAGTATATGAGTATGTTGTAATTTAGATTTTGTCTAAAATCATGTCTTTGATATAATCTATTTATTTATTTATTCTATGAAGTAAAATGAAAAATAAAAAATAATATTTTAAGTTTTTAGCCTTATACTGATTGTTTTATTTTTTATTTTTTCTAACTTTAAGTTTAGTTTAATAAATTAGATATTTTTCAGTTTTTTTTAATTATTATTATTTTTATCTTTATCTCTCTCTCTCTCTCTCTCTCTCTCTCTATATATATATATATATATTAAGATTTGAATATTTTTTTGTTTTTTTTTTTTTATCTATATTGTCGTGTTTACTTATTTAACTTTTTTTAAATAAATTTCATGTTTGTAGATTCATCAATTTTTTAATTTTTAAAATATAAAATAAAATATTTTTTTAACTTAGTAATTTTAGAAACATTCTTTTCACTTTGTTTATAATTTAAATTTTTTATTACTTTATTTTTTTTGTATAAATGATAAATATGTCTTACTATTTTGATAATTGTTTATAATGGTTCTTATTTGGTTTCCTTTCGTTCATTTATACATTTTGGATGGCGAAAAGTTATGTTATTAAAAGTCAAACTTGTGATTTTATCAATTTTATTGTGAATAATATATCTATATATATATATATATATATATATATGTATGCATATGTATTTATAGGTATATTCGAATTTCTATATGTTTATTAAGATCTTGATTAAAATATTAGGTATGCATGTATAATGTGGTATATATTTCAATGTACTCAAAATTCAAATTATAATGTATTTTTTTAATATGGAAATCTTTCTATTTTATACTTTAAAAATTAATTTTTTAATATTTAAAAAAATCATATGATAACAAAAGGATGCCAATTGTTGAGAGTTTTCTCTTGCTATGTTTTATTTTATGGTATTAGCAAGTAGTTGATTGCTTCATTTATATGCTTACTATTATCAAATTATTCTGTCCTGAAATTACTAAAATCTGGATCTACTAAAATTGATCAATGATGTATTAATTGTTTATATGAAATAATTTAATCCTTGACATTCTTAATGTTTTTCACTTGATTAAAGCAATTTAGATTTTTTGCATTCCAACATTGTATAAGAATATTCAAATTAAATTTTAATAATTTAGAAGATAATAGTGATTTTTGTAATTTTTAAATAATTTCTGAATTTTTACCAACAATTGATTTGAATCAAATTTATTAAAAATAAAATTGCACTATTCGAATAGGTTTGAATGAATGGATCTTTGTCCTTTACCACTTATTGGACAAAATAGAAGCATTGTCATTATTTCATCCAGATTTGTTGTTAACAAATCTCTATGAATTTTATTTAAATTACCTGAACACTCACACACACAGTACAATAAAATTCTTTTACATTAAGAAGTATAATTTATCCTGACCAGGTGAAGCAACAGACTGAATTCTCACTGATCTAAAAACTCATTTCTCTTCCAGTTTCAAATCCCATCTGCCATGCATGCTCCATCCACGGTGAGCCCTCACACAAGAAAAGAAAGTCCACATGCTGCACATGCAATAGCAACAATACATGCACTTGCATTTCTTTATTGTGGCGACATGTGCCGACAAACCCTAATTTCCAGTTACAATATGGATTTCTAACCCATCCTAACATGAAGTTCGAGGTGTGTCAGTATGGTCAAGGCTGTTGTTCACAGATTCTCATGCTTCAAAGTGGACCACAACACCACACAAAACACAATAAAATGGACCTAGCAAGAGGGTTTGTAGGGCTATATTGGTGTCAATGCCTGGTGAGAACTGTTCCTGATTCCACTTTGTTGACTCTGCATGAGATTTGTCGTAGACTCCATGGACGGAGACTATCCCTCGAGGATGAAGATAAATGGATGAGGAAGGAACGACATCGAAGGTTGGATGAATGAAAATCGGAACCGCGATGTCTTGTCCCCAGAATCTACATCCAATGGATGAACGAGATTCGATTTTAATTGGAAAAGAGGGCTTGGGGTCTCCGGGTGTAGGCAAAGACAGGCCGTGCCTGGAGAGAGTTGTGCACCGAAGGCGCACCATGCTGCTGGCCCAGGATGGGCCATGCCAACCTTGCCCGTGGCTCTGGGGTCGTTTGGTGCAAAGCGCGGTGGCCAGGGATCTGTGAGGTCACTTGCGAATTTCCAGCTCCACCGCCATGGCCAGCCACTTCCGATTCTTCTCAACGCGATCCTCTTCCTGGCTCCCCCTTCCCAGGCACTCTCTGCGCTTCCAACAACTCCTCCCCCGTTCGATCGGTGCCTGCCACCCTCCCGCGTTTATATCCTCTTCTCGTCTGGTAATATCACTCGAATCTTCTCGGGTTCTTCCGCCTCGGTCTCATCCACTTGTGAATTTGAAGATATTTTTTCTGTCCTCCGGCCTTCAGAGATAGCTTCATGCAGGTCATCGCTCTGTTTGTCGATGCCATGGCTGGTGTTTTGTTCGCCATTTGAAGCCTCTCCCTGGTTTCTGATAATTCCTTGGCTCATAGATGGTTCATGGATGGTTCATGGATGTCTCGTAGTTGAAGCCCTAGGCTCGAGTTGAACCCTCGAACCTTTGTTTCTTGTGCTCTTGCGAAGCGCTCCCGGTGGCGATTTGGAAGTGTTAGCAGGATGCTTGCTGCTGCGCAGCGGGTACGTTTTAATTTGCATTCCTCTTTGCGCGTTTTCAAGTCATGTTTATACGAGCCAGCTTTGGTGCAGTTTGTGTTTGATTCTCACTCAGTGCTTTGTCATCGTCCGTTTCGACGTTGTTTGTGGCTGTCTGAAGTTTTTAGATGTTGAAATTTGAAGATCAATCTGAACTGGTTGCACATAGTAGCACCTGTCACATTGCAGTCCACAAGGCTGTGCTGTAAATGCTCAATGGCTGTAGTTTGGGCTGATTAGTGATGAGTGGGGCGAAGGTGCGGGGTACCAGAACATCTTAAATGAAATAAGGTGAAGCATGTGTTAGTGTTTTCTTTAGGTTGTGCATGGGGAAGGAATTCAAAGGTTAGCTAGGGCTTTGTGGAGAGATCTAATGCTTAGGAATACTTTTGATAGAGAGAACATCTGTGAGCCTACAAGATTTAGTAAGGTTGTGGTGTGCACGTGACGAAATGTTAGGCTTGATTAGTGTAAGATATATGGAGGGAGCATGTTGCGTTTTTTATGGCACGATTAATGGTTTGAACCTCTGCATGTTAGTCGAGTGTGAACCAGAGATTAGGTGGTAGGAGTGTTGTCGAACTTCATGATGAATACTTGATTTTGAGACCATAAGGCCCGCAAATCTTACCGTAATTCTGTCACGGTTAGGTTTTTAATTTTTGATTTATTTGTTTCTTCTAGTGAACGTCAGTTCTTATGGCGAGCTAATCCTTTGTTATGCTCGATCTGATTTCTTCCCTTGTTGATTTAATTCATGCGTCATGAGCTTTATTAGCCTGTCTTGACATTGCTGTAGTTTATTCCAGCTGTCTTGTTTGAATGGAAAAGTATTCTGCTTCGAGGCTCCTGACGGCGAGCAGACGTGAAGTAAACATTCTCTCGACAACCTTCTTCAAAGTCACAAACATAGACAGAACGTGAAAGAGTTTACTCCTTCCTAAGAAGGAGCACGGATGCGAGGACCATCTTTTTGGTGCTCGCTTTGTTGCTTGTGTCTCTGCTTCTTATGTTGCAAGCCGCGCCGGCGCAAGCGGACGGTGACTTCCTCTGGTTTATATTGATTACATTTCTTCAGGTATGGTTGTCCTCATACTTTATTGATATGAGTATTGTAGGTTTTCCATATACAGTAAATTCTCTCTAAACTAATATCCTTGGGACTGGGTGGATGCTACTAGTTTATGGAGGTTATTAGATTACACAATATTGTATCGGGGTATCTGTTTATGGCGGGACTGGTGTCTGTGTATTAGCTCGGAGAGGATATTAAGTAAGGCAGTATTAGTTTAGAGAGAGTTTACTGTATGATAATTAATGGTGTGCTTTCTGGTTTTATGGAGCATGATAATTCAATGTCACGGATCCAATAAAATTCATGGCTTAAAACTCGAAAAGTAGTGAATTGTTCGTTTTCGATTAGATTATTATTATTATTATTATTATTATTATTATTATTATTATTATTATTTATTTTCGTTTCTTACGTTTGTTTGGAGTTAGTTTAAAGTTTGTTTTTCAACTAGCGTCATGTGCCCTTGCTTTATGCTCGGGGACGGAGCTGTGAGTTTTGACACTGATCAACTTTACACGCAGGACAAATCTGAAACACTTGTGCTGTGATGATAGCTTGAAAGAAACGGCCTTAATCGAGGGATATATTGCAAGTGATAGTGATGATTCTTCTCCTAGCGTCTTTCTGTGTTAACCTACTCTCCACAGTGACACGTCCATGGCGCCGGCTGTTCTGGTTGGCTTTGCATTTGTACATTTCTGTGTGGAGCGTTGTGCTAAATCGAGTATCAGAAGCATTTTCAAGGTCTGTAGAGATAGTGACAGCATATCGCCGCGAAAAAGAGGTACGTATCAGTGTTCTCCTAAAGGAATGCTATTGTTTTTCAATGTACCAATTTTTTTTTTCATGCATGTCAATTCAATGAAGCATCAATCCTCTTGTGCGTGCCATACAAAGTGGCAGTTTGTGTGCCCTGAATTTTTAGGTTAGATTCGTTTAGGGTCCATGAGTTGTTCCTGATTTGCTTAATCGATTACTTGAGTTGCAGCTGGTGGTACAGCTCTATTCTATGAGGCGCGAATACGAAGTCGTGAAACTACGGAACAGTGAGCTTCAGACGAAATTAGATGCTTTCACAAGAGATCGTCGGAGGATCATGGAAACACTTGACCTTGTGACGGCTGAAAAAAAGAAGGCAGTGGAGACCGTGAAGTTCTTGAAAAACAAGGTATGCAATGAGAATGACCACATCATTCTATGTTTCATACAGCTTACAGAATTTTCCTAATATATTTAAAAGAAATTATTTAAAGACCTCAAATGTAGGCTTTAAATGAAATTATTTTTATTTTAAATCTTTTCCTTAAAAGATTTTAGCATCACTTGCTTCTGATTCATTGTGGGATTTAGGTTCAGGATTTGGAAACTTCGAATCAACAGTTAACCGAGATTGAAGAGATGCTGCGGAGGGGTCTGGAAGAGACTCTATCAAAATTAAAAGTAGCCTCCAATCGAAATTCAGAAGTTTTCTTCAACGGTTTGGGTGCAGATTTTCAATCGATTCAAGCTAAAGATATTGCTAGCAAGACTCTTCTTGACAAGGACACTTACAAAGAGAAAGAGTCTTATTGTGACCTGCAGCCTCTGAGGACTCGACCACCTAACTCTACGCAGATTGGTCAAGCAGATCTCGAGATACCCCATGTTATTGAATCTGAGTATGGTGCGGCCTTTACGTCCACCATGTTCAGTGCGTTGTTGTCAACTTTGGTGGCGATGGTTGCAGGGGAGGCTAAGGTTGGCACCCTTCTGCTCCTCACTGTGTTTACCTGATGTTGCTCAAGTAAAGTTATTTGAGGTGTCCTTGATTTTGTTCTGCTCAGCGTGTAGCCACCGGGTTGGTTGTACCGGAAAATCAACTTGCGAATTGATTTCAAAGGTTAGCCACTGTGTTGATCTTTTGCTAATTCTCTCTTAATGGAGAGTGAGGACTTATTCACTTCGAACAGTTCGTTTACCTTTCACTCATACTCGCGCCTCAATGCTTTGTGCAGGATCCATGCCAACCTCTAGTGATTGCCCTGTTCTCTGTGGTGGGTATGTCACTAATCAGCGTAGTTCGCTTTTTCACTAAACTCCAAAGTCAGCGAGGTTTCTTAGCTGTGGCCCTTCTGAGCCTCAACTGGTTTGTGGTAGGGACCTTGGCTCATCCTGCCATGCCACACGTAGGTCATATGGGTTTTAATTTTTTTTTGGCTATTGGTGGTCGGTTGCTAAAGTTAACGGGATTTGAAAACATCACAAGAGTTGTCAAGTCTGCCGATCATACAGCAGTAATTGAGTTGTGAAAAGGTAGAAATTGCCCAAACTGTAGATCTGAGTTCCATGTTTAATTGATTGTAGTTAGTATATGGCACTCAGGTTTATTTCTGTAAATGATGTCTCGACAGATGAGTGTAGTTGTTAGTGTATAGTTTACAAGGATTCGCAAGGAATTGAAGTGCGTAGAACGAAAGTTTAAGATAGAACTGAGTAAAGATACTTTTATAGAGGTTTAGACACAAATGTTACTTACCTCGCTTTTAGTTCCGTTGTATTTTTACAGTCCTACTATAGCATGCATGATTTTGTTTTTACTATTTTTACTATGGCACTTCCTTTCGGCATAAGAGTTCAGTGTCATGTGAATCGCCTTGAAGGTTGTTCAGAATTGAACTTCTTTAAAAGTTACTTAACTGTGATATCAATTGATGTTTTGTATGTTGAGGACGCATGCTGCCTCTTAAACACTTTTCAGAAAATTATTGTAGTTACTGAAGGAATTCCTTAACTATTGACCAGCGATGAATTAATTCATCGCTGGACGTTGGACGGTAGTAGCAATGGCGCAGCATGTCAGAACATACATTTAGAAAAGTAACAAATTGTTAATTCATATTGCAGTCCCAGCAAACTGGTTTCACAAAGCTCCACTCTGGTCGTCAATTCTCATGCAATGATGCTCTATCACTACAGATTACTTCTTAGAGGTGCTGGATTGCCCTGCCTCAGTCCATTTGGAAGTTTCGTAAGAGACGGCCTCCACGATAAAGTGATGTCTAGAAGTTCAACATGAAGTCCTAACGTGGTATACAAGGCAGATCAAGCCTCAATACGATGCATCTGACCGAGAGCAGGTCATTAGTGAGCTCACATCGGAGGCAAGTTCGATCGGACCATGAAGATGCAGTTTCACCCTATCCTGGGTATAATTTTGCAGTAATCCTGTTTAACTTGACAAGTAGAAAGATAATCCCTGACATGCACAAAGTGCACACATCGCTGTAATTAACCATTCCCATGTGGTTATAAATTTCAACTGGATTACACGTTATTATTGTATTCCTCTTGCTGTCACTAGATGTTTCCAACACCCTGCAAAGTAGGAATGCGGACGTGTAACACGCGAGTATTTCGATCCATATATGTATATATATATATATATATATATATATCTTACTCAAGGATGAACCCTTAGGCTAGAGCCAAGGAGTATTCATGGAACCGCCTAATATTCCGTTGATCTTATGTTCGATGAACGCTGCTCGTGGTGCATGCTAGTGGATCGTCTTCTACCAGCTTCACGGTTGGGCCGTCGTTTCCATTGTCTCGCTTCCTTCGGTGCAGGATTTCTTCGTATATACTCAATTCTCGTTCGATTATGTGTGGAGTAGCAGCTGGTTGCATTTGATAACATCTGCCACATTGCAAATCACAAGTTGTGTCGCAAATGCCTTGCGGTTGCTGTTTACATTGATTGATATTGTCTAGGGAAAAGGCTCATGATTCCCGTAGCAATGTAATCGAAAATAGTGGGGGAGGAGAGTTTGGTTACATTTGAACTAGATTAATTATGAGAAAGGGATGCAAAGGTGACCTGGAGAGTTGTGAAGAGGGCTGATGCTTCTGGATACTGTTTGGGAGAATACACGTGAGGCCACACGGTGCAGTTACGTTGTGGTGTGCAAGTGACGACGTCGAAGCCTGTACTAAATACGACTTGCGAAGGAAGCACGTTGCGTTGTTTGTAGCACATGAATGGTGAGTGAAAATGAGGCTGATGGAAGGAATGGTACAGAAATCGCATTACAATGTTGGCTTTATATAGATTAGTGTACTATTTGTGCAATACTTGAATGTTGATTACTTTGGTTTGTGAACTGTTTGGGTTTTGGATCATAGATGCTTGATGCTTTGTTTCATAAAATATTATAATCAAAAGACAATGGTATTATTTGTTTGTGTGTGCATTCATCTATCAGACAATTCATCTATTCCTGTATTTATTTAGTCATTCATTTATTTTGTAACAATTTTAAGTTGGTAGTTGTTTAAATCTTTAAAAATCAAGTTAGCAATGATTACATGCAACAAATTTCTAAAGATGTAGCACCTCATATATTCATTAGAGTTGTATAGTATAGAAGCATATAGGAAGATTTTTAACCTTTTGAATAAGAAAATATATTTTTTGTACTCATAAATGATATTTAATAAAATAAATAAATAAAAATTATTATGTCAATGTAATTATTAACAAGGTGGGATGATAATTTAAGGAAAAAAAAAAAAAAAAAAAAAAAACTTGAGAGTATAATAGCTAGGCCCTTTCATAGAGAGGTTTTTTTTTGTATGATAGAGAATTGTTCTAGCAAAAAACTTGACACAACTAAGTCTTGTGCATTAACATCATGGACAGCTATAATTATTAGCATATATAATTAGTTAAATAATAGAGCTAAATAGAAGTAAGTTGAATTATTGATATATTATTGAAAAGCTTCTTAGAAGATTCGGAAATAAACATTTAAATGTATACATGTTTGTAGGTGATTGATAGGTTAAAATTTATCCAATAAGTTTGACATGTATCTTCCAAGTTGGACATGTACTATGTGGCATATAAAGCATTGCTATATAATTTTTATTGGATAGTAAATGGATACAAGAGTGAAGTTTTTTTTTTTTTTTTTATTCTTGTTAGCTTTTTTTTGTTTTTGATTTAATTTCAAGAGTCTCTAATCTTCTTATCTTTGGCAATAGTCATTCTAGTTTTTATTTAAATATATATTTTTTTATTCTCTTTTTGTTATCTCTTGTTAATATATATCTCACTTATTTATTTGCATTCTTTAAATTCTTGTCGTTGACAAATTGACAAGAGTATAATTATAATATGAAAGCTTTATTAAAAGTGGATTTTTTTTTCTTGATAATATACAAGTATTTTAGAGATTGTAGATTATTCACATCTAAATTGATATTTTTTTGAGATTTATTTTATTTTATTTTATTTTATAATAATTTTCTATCATTTATCATAAATAGTAGAATTTATTTTATTTTTCTAATATATTATAATTATAAAATTTTTAAAAATTAAAAATTCAATAGCACAAATGTAAGAAAAAATTAGAAAGTCAATATATATTATACATTAATTTATTTCATTATTACAAATAACATCAAGATTTGTTAGAAATGAAGATGTAGAGATGGTTGAAGCTACTTCAACATCTACCACTAAATCTAATACCTTCTCATATGATAGGGCATCCTAAAGGAAATCACTACTATTTTCAAAAAAAACTAGAAATTGACTTACCAAAGAAATTAGATAGTATAAGATGAAAATTTTGAGGATTTATCAACCAAGTAGAATTATTAATTGATCTTAAACATCATAGCTATCTCATCCCAAGATCACTATTTAATTTTGTTAGAATATTACTTTTAAATTTTGTCTTATTACAATTGTAATCTATGTATAGAGAAAAAAATATAATTTATATTGCAACCAACAAGATTTGAATTTTATACTAAGAAAATTCTTCAGTAAGACTATGTGCTTCACAAGTTTGACAACTTGCAACTAATACAAAGTATGAAGATGTTTTACTTATTAGCCAATATCTTTATAGATTATAATATGATATTAAAAAGTTGAGGTTGAACTTACTTGATCCTCAAATATTGAATTAAACAATTGAATTTGCTATAAAGTATAAAAATCAAATTTTTGAGTTCCAATTAAAAAAAACACTACAATATCTTTATAATTGGTTTTCTGTTCCAATTCATATTTAACAAATATAATTTACAGTAGAGTATATAAAAATTGATGAAATTTTCTTTAAATCTCTTATTAAGTAAAAAAGATCTCAATGTTGTCAAAACAAATTGTATTTGTATTGTGAAGCTTTTAAATACACTACTTAATAATGTCTTAAAAATAATAAAACTACAAAATAATGAGTGTGGTTGTTAAAAAATATGATGTATTAAAAATGAGCTTTCCTAGCTAAAATAAGAATTGTTGTTGTATCATGTGAAAATCAACATAAAAATATATTAGGCATTTGATTATGGAAGGATTTGATCATATCTTAAAGTTAGATTTATAATCCAATATAATGCAAAAGATATTTAAAAATACTTTCTTGGTAATATTAAACAACTTAAATAAGCTCCTATTTATATAAAGTATTTTTTATTTTTTTAAGATATTTTATTAACCTTAGGAAAATCTTTAAAAAATCTTATCATAGTCAAATTAACATCGAATAAAACTTAGTAATGTGTAAATTCTTTATTCTATATCAAATAATAAATTATTTTTTTATTCAAACCAATTTTTATTTTAGACCTTTGTATGTTTTTAATAAGTTATTTTTTATAAAAACAAACAATTTTTGTATAGTTTGTAAATTTTTCAAAAAAGAATCAAAAAATTATTCAAAAACAAAAAACTTTTTAAGTTCCACAAACTAATATATATATATATATATGTTAAAATGATCCACCTATTTATTAAATTAATCCATTCTATCGTAACCATCATTAGAAAGATGGATCATCTCTATACACCATCATTACAATCATGGCCCTCATCTCCACTCTTCTTATTCCTAGTCCCTGCTTCCTCCGTTCTCAGCCTTCATCCCAATCACTTTGTTTTCTTCTCTTCATTCCTAGCTCTTATTCCAACCATCTTTATTCCTTTTAATAGCGTGAATTGATTTATTAAATGGATGGATCATTTTTAACATATATAAATATATATATATATATATATATATTTGTATAAGCTTCTCAATTGACTAACTTGATTTTTTAGTACATGATCATTTTGTTTGTATAGTAAACAAAGAAAGGTGAACATAGTATTATAATATTTCACATTTTGTTTTAAAAAAAGGAGCCAAGTATGCATCTATGGTCCTCCTCACACCAAAGTTTGAGGTAGCAAGCTTTATATTAAAAAAAACTATTACATAAGGTTTTGACAATAGGTACTAAGTATTGACCTCTATCTTATATTATATATCTTGCATTAGCTTTTGCAGCACTTCAGGAACCATAAGGTACTTCATAAAAAAGAAGTCAAAGAAATTAGGTGCCCATGCAAAGACCTGTATTCTTACTAGGAGGTAAAATCGAATTTGGATCCATAGAAGTCAAAGCTAAGCATCCACACGACAATGTTGTGAAGGAATTCAGAGGTCTCATAGTAATAGAATTTTTAAGAATCCTAATTAAATCCTAAAGTAATCATAGAGAATTTAAAAAAAAAAAAAAAAAAAAAAAAAAAAAACTTGAAAAAATCATAAAGAAAATTTCAAGAAATTTTAACAAAATCTTAGCCAATTCTGAAGAAATTCTAAGTAAATTCTTAAAAATCCAAATCAAACCTTATGCTTTAATATGCTATCAAAAAATAGCAAAAGAAAAGATACAAGAGGTATAAAGTCTCAATGAAGCAAGAATCTTTGCCCAAAAGAATCTTGTGATGGCCTTTATATTATAAAATCTAATGATCAAAGAACATTTGGATATGAAATTAAATTACAACCTTGCTTCTAAAAAATGTTAAGATAAGAAATACAAAAGATATGAAGTTTTGATGAAGTAAGAAATAGAATTGTTTAATTTTTTGATGGTTATATTAGATATGGAAATTTTAGAGTACTTTCAAAGGGTGGAAAAATGAAGGATATAAAAAGCATGAAATTTTCATGGAATAAAAAGTACATCTAATGAAGTACCTTAAATTAATTGTAATACTAACAACAACTAGAATTTTCTAAATAAAATAGGCCACTTCAAATCTTTTACTATATTTAATATGTGGAGGTGCTCAAGCATAACATCACTGCCAAATAAATTGGACAACCTCACATTTTTGACTACGTTAGATGTGTAAAGGTCCTCAAGCTTGAAATTTTTGTCAAATAAATTAGGCAACTTCACATCTTTGTCTACCTTTAATATATATCTGCTCAAAATTGATATCATTACTAATAAATTGGACAACCTTTCATCTTTTACTATCTTCGATATAAGTGATTGCTGAAGCTTAAATCATTATTAAATGTATTAAACAACTTCATATCTATAACCACCTTTAATATAAGAGATTACTCAAGTTTGATATCATTGCCTAAAAAATTAGACAACTTCACATCTTTGACTACCTTTTTTATAAGTGGATGTTCAAGCTTAACATTGTTGCTATATAAATTTACTTTAAATTTGCTTCTAGATCTTTTTTGTTCTTTCTTATCAATTATTATGATCACAATTGAAATTATTTTATTATATTTTATTTATTTCTAAATAAAAAATTAGATATTTAATATAATTATGCTTGTGAGTTTATTAAAAAAATATTTTATATTGTATTTTTTAAAAATATTATTCTATTTTTTATTAAAAGGCAAAAAATTTTGAAACTAAAATTTTATAATTTATAATTTTATTATGTAATTTAATAATTTTATTCATTCTATTAATTAATTTAAACATATACTTATTTAAATTTATATAGTATATATAAATATTTAAAAAAATTGAAAATTAAAATATATATTATTAACTTTAAAATTTATAAAACATTGCACATTAGACATTGTGTAACCTATTTAAATTAAGATATTGCATTTTTAAAATGTATACTGGATTCAATCAAAAAAATAAGTCTATAAAAAATATTAGTTTAAAAACTAATCAATTATTATAATTATTGATTAAAATTTCAATTACTTTGTGTATATAAAATTAAATATAAAATTATTCTTTCTACTTCAATCATTTTTATATATAGAGAAAAAAATGTCTCACAATTTTTAAAAAATAAAATACTATAAATTAATATAAATATAGATATATGCATAAAAATATTTATTTTTATTTACCTACATATATGTATATATGTTCGATAATTTATAAATTTTTATTTAATGAGTTATTATATACAAACGCTTTAAAGATAAAAATTTTAATAAATTTTAATCATATTTTAAATTTTATTAAATGATAAAATAATTATAAATTTTATTAATATGATCAATAGATTCAAATTAATAATAATATATACATATATATATATATATATATATAGTTTATTATAATTTTATTTTTTATACTCGCTGAAATTTGAATTTTTAAGTAGAAATTGATCCTTATTTAAAATAATATATATCTTAGTACAATAATTGCTGCTTGTAACTTTAGAATGCTTTTTTTTTTTTTTTTTTTTTAAGTTAGAAATTAAAAATCAAAAAATCAAAAAAATATGTTTTTAGTATTGATTTAATGTAAGGACCAAGTTCTAACTTAAAGCAAGTGGCAATGGTTTTTTTCTTAAAAAAGCAATTGCAATCTTAATAAAAAGTTTGATGGGCATAAGAGCCTTGCCTGTTGAATGCAACTTACTTAATGACCATTGTTGCTTGTTTTATAGAATTTAAATTTTCTAATTATATATAATTGATTTTTAATTATATCATTTATCTTTAGATTTTAGATCTTAGAAGCAAATTTATTCTATGATTTATTTTTGATTTCTACATAATAAAGTTAAAATAGTATTTATATTTTTATAGACTTTTGTAATAATTTAAAGTTAGTATTTCTATTCTAGTAGATGAGTATATATATATATATATATATATATATTTAAATTTAATCATATCTTTAGAAGATTAAGTCTAAGAGTAAAGATTCCAAGAATGTTGTGTAAAATACATTTATAGTTTGGAATTGAAATTATTTTATGAAGTGAAGATTGAAATGAATAGACATTTAATTATTAAATTATAACCTTGTCAAAAATGATAATAACAATAGATTGGTTAGAAGAAAATTTGAATGTAACTTTTGAAACCTAGAACCTAGATTAAATTTTTTAGGACTTGATGTCTTTATGCTCCACATGCTTATTAATTGCTTATTGGTATGCATTATATATAATTGAGATTGGAAGGAAACACAAGCCATATTATTCTACAATCTACATCTCACAATTCAATCGTTGCAACTTAACCAATTCACCCGAAAAGAAAATTAAATACTTCATGACAATATTTTGAAATGGCATGGCAATAAAGCACACACATTCAAGGGTTAATTCTTTGCACGCCACCGTCAATAGTGGAGCCTTCAATGTATTGTCGAAAGTTGGATCACCAATTAGGATCCGTTTTCCGGATGTCACTGTTCTTGAATTCAAGCGTAAAACTGATTACTATTCTCACACGTGAAAGTTTTTCTGTGTTTTGATACTTATGCCACAGTAGATAAGGAATAGTTATAATGCTACTGGTTTTGAGAGTATTATTATTTCAATCGCTAGTGACTTATTCTTGTTAATAAGAAATTCTGAGACCCTTCCAATCTCGTTCTTGAGAACATTTTCTGATATTGATGGCCTTGAAAAGCTTGTGAGAGTACTACCGAATTTCGCGTGGAAAGGAGGCTCGGAGCAGTGGTGTTGATGTTGGGGTTAGTGATTCCTGTGGGTTACATGATGTTTAGGACGAAGCGGGTGCCGTTCAAACGTGCAAAATTTATGGCGTGAATGTGTTGGTTTCTCGAAGGAGACTGTAAAACATGATATCCGTCAGTGACTTTATCATATTGCTTGCGAGTGGGTGCAAATATAGCCAACAAACTTGTCATTCTAGCAAAATCGTATGGACGGGAAAAAATTTATGGGAGTAGTTTACTGTAGACATTGAGCGGTGAGTGTCAACTATCTTTGTCTACCTCCCATGTTTTAACGACTTCCATGTGGGGACAGTGAGATTGTTGGCCAACGAAGAGGTGTGTTACTACAATTGTCATTTTCGTGCTCGTACATCAGATCTCATTGTCATTTAATAAAATATTGTGAGATTTCAAATAGCTGAGTTTCACATATGAGCTGTCTGTATTGGGATCTATATAGAACCTAATTGCAGCCCAACCTCTTGCAGAAGGCATCAAAGGTTATCATGTATTGTGGTATTTTCATTTAAAATTTATATCTCCCATGACAACTCATTACATGCTTCGCCCAATAAGCTGTAGTAACATAATCTTGTGGTTCGACAGAGGCTCGAGTATCATCAAAATTTGTAAGGGTATGGCTTGCTGTGTTATTCAATGCAACTTCACCTAAGTTCGGTTGCACCGATCACTAAGTGGAAAGCGATCATCCAGAGCAGATTCCATGGTTGAGAGTATCGAAACACCTCCTTGTGGGTAGAGTACTGACCTATCCCTTGTGCTATATTTTCCTGACAGGCGGACGTCTAAAATTACCGTTACAAATCTCTGAAAATGGTCCATGACAGGTGCTTTGCTAGGATATGCCACATCATGAGAGCTTTCATAAATTTAAATTCAATTACATGCTGTATAATCGTGTAGTCTCTACAAAACGTCATGCAGCATGCCAGGGTGTATATTTACAAGGTTTTTACAAGCTCGTCCTAGCCATTCGAATTTTCCATAGTCAGCTCAGGGCATGGCTTAGGTAATACAAAGTTATAGAATCCAGTTACCCATGAGCAATTCCAAGGACCTTGCTTTGTTGTGCGAGTATCAAGGACTACTTTGGTGAGGTGGATGTCATGAAAAGGTGCGTCTGGTAACCCCAGCAGAAGACCTGCCTGTGTGATGTTTTCACCCACAATATTCCCCACAAGAATATTCTCAATGACTGGATACGCAGTTCGGTTCCAATTTTCATCGGGATGTTCTCCATAATTGCCCATGACAGCGATCGCAGTCCTGACCGTATGCATTACTATGTTATTCACTGTGACATTCCTTATGTATGCTCCTCGTCCCACTGAAGTTTTGAAGCGCACACCCCATCTGGAATTAGTGATGACCATGTCATCAACCTGCAAAAAAATCAAAAATCAAAAATCAAACAAAAATAACTAGTCAGAGCAATAGATATTACAGGTGAAAATCGATTATTCAGTTCTAGAAACAATGCTGGTGAAACCTGACCTCGATGTCAGAGATGCCCCCAGACATTTCACTGCCGAATGAAATTCCAGCACTAGTATGCGAGAATGCAACTACGCGTTGAATTCGAATATATTTGCTAGGCATCCCGAAGCCTGTTCCATATTGATCCCATCCGCTTTTGATAGAAATCGCATCGTCACCAACACTAATGTAACAGTCTTCAATGCAGACATATTGGCTAGAGTCTGTAAAATAAGGCCAACAAAAAAATATATGTCATTCAGATAAAATATCCAAAAATCAGAAAAAAAATTATTTCCCACGCAACCCACAAAACATAGACAACCATCCTGACAATGACTAGTGCGCTGTGCCGATTACAATTGACCAATAAATCTAGCCATAGTTGGAGATCGATGTAAATTGGTACAAACCCAGTACTTTACGAGGTTAACGTCCAACTCATGTGAAGATACAAAAAACCAGATACTGGTATGGATCTCATTGCGTAACTTCTTTTTTGTCAGAGGTTGTACCTGGGTCAATACCGTCTGTATTCGGAGAATTCAGTGGATTCAAGATGGTTACGCGTTTCACCACTACATTCCTGAAAAACCAACCATGGTACTCATTGTGTAATTTTAATCATAAAAAACCAAGTACTAAATTGTCTTCTACATATTCCACAAAACATTAACCTAGAAGCGAAAGGCAAAAGTTAAAGCAAATCACCACATCACATAATTTCATGGAATACTAAACAGTGATTGACGTTGGTGACCTTATTCAGTTCATAGACGCACTATCCTCTAAGATAGTACACATAACGTACATTGCACCGACTTGAGAACATCACACCTGGTTGTGCAAAATGAGCGAAAGAAGAGTTTGTCAGTTTCTTTTTTCTTTTCTTTTTTTCTTGTGGGCAGGGGAGGGGGGATGTGGAGAGAATAGTTACTTGGAATAGACCGGATGGATGGTCCAGAATGGCGAGTTTTGAAAAGTAAGATTTGAAATTAAGATATCTTGTGCTTCTATAAGCTCTAACAAATGGCCTCGGGTGTGCTCCAATGTTTTGCTGCGAAATGAACTCCACCATACCGCTCCTTGTCCATCAATTGTTCCATTATTACCTGGAACCATAAGTAGCAATAATGGTCAGAACCTGGGATATCATCTGGAAGGTGTCCAAAATCCTCATTTCTTTCATGTGATAGCCTGTTACAGAGTAATGGAACAGAGACGTAAATCTTCCAATATTCTATCATTTCGTGAGCCGAAAGAGGTTTTGCACCCACATCATCCGTTTGCGAGAAAGGCACAGTGGCAGGTTTGACATTTGATCAGTTCAGAGCATGACGAAATCAGCAAGATCGTAGCCTGACTACGAGCTTAAAAAGTACCTGTAATGATAACATCCTCGAGACCATCGCCATTGATGAGACTACTGTATCGTGAACCAGGCAGCTCACGACCTCGACCATATGATGGTAATCCTGGAATGAGTGGGTAGTCGTTAAAGTCCTGCACACACACTGGTGAGCACATTTGCTCTTCTCAACATTATCTACAGCTTTGATGAATTCAAATTCCTAATTTTCAGGTTTCGGCACATTATTTTAGGTTCATGACGTTACCTCTGATCCAAGGATTGTAGCTCCGCTTTCCAGGAATAACGTGAGATGACTTATTAACCTAATACTTCCAGTAAGCCACCTTCCCGCAGGAATGTACAATTCTGCACCTCCTTTATCAGCATAGTTACTAAGGGACAACATGGCCCTCTCAAATGCATGTGTATTAAGTGTCGTGCCATCCCCTACAGCACCAAAATCGATAATGGAGAAACTGTATGGACGCCGTTCCCAGTCGTTCACAGTGTGAGCACAGCTCTCTTTGGACTGCAAGACAGCAAAGATTCTGTAACAATGAAGAAGAGAATTGAAACAAAGAGCAACCAGGTGGGATGTGATAAGTACAGCAACCTATGCATAACATGATGACTTATTGTGAAGCTCATTGCCTGTCCATAACTGCAGAAGCAAGTCCGCACACAACAATTACGGCCAAAAGTACATTTTTCAACCTCCAGATAAAGGCTATCGCACAAGTTTTGCAAGCATATTCTCAACTGACGACTTCCTCTAAAGGAAAAGTGTAAGGCCATTTTAGAGCAAAAACTTTAAGACCAGAAAGGAAGTTTGCTAGTATGCATACAAGGCAAATGGTAGGTCGAAATTTCTTACTTTAACATGTCCAAAGATACTCTGGTGAAAATCCATGGGAATTGAACTGTCCCTGGCTCCATTTGATCCCCGACAATCGTCAGCCAGTGAAGGGCCTACCATACATGTGTGCCAAAATTTATCTGAACCTGCGCAGCTCAACAGGAGGAGCAGGATTCGTAAACTTTGAAAGCTCTGTCTGCTTGTCATTTGGAGCATAAACGTACGACAATGTGTCCCCCTTTGTCGCACTTGCTTTTCCTGTTCCTGTGCTTTCCGATGTTCTTTCTACTTGAGCAAGTTCAAGGAATAACTGTGCGGCTCAAGTTGCACATAAAATCTTCATGCAGAACGCAACCCCTGGATGTCATCTGCAAGCATAACACGTGTACAGCTATAAAACATAATTAGAAAGGAGATAATATTTTTCAAGGAACAGTCAATATTGAGGACAAGGACCAGGTGAACGCGCCGATTCAAATGAATAGCAACATTCAGTTTCCAAAGCTAACGGGTTCACTTTCGAACCCCGTAACGCTTCCGCTAACTACTTCACCAGTGCTAAATTCAGTTGAAAAACAGTGTCACTGGCAACCTTTTTTATGGGATCCAACTCGAGGTGTGACATCTCCAGCTAACTAGGCAACAAGTCAAGAACTACGCCTGATAGTTGGTACAAACTTGGAAAGGATCGCAACTGAAAAATTATTGAATGGCCCGAAAAGGAAATTAACAAGATTATTCCTCATGCTAGCAAGCAACCCGCTCCCATATTTCGTGACATCACATCAGTGCAATCAGCTAAATGAGCACCAAAGGCGTATTCTTCGCAATTTCTAAGTATTTGAGTACTACTTCACCAATAAATATATCTCTTCACCGTAGTAGAACTTCGGCCAACTCAAAATGACTGAAAATTTTATCTCTACACGTACGCCTCAAAAATACACAAGCTACTTCCCACGGACATTTCATATAAAAAAAAGGAAACCACAACTCACGATTACATATTCTCCCTTGAGCTGAAACCCGTGAGTAAACCCTACCTCCAGAGCCAAACAGAATGCGACGAACAAGAAAACTCCGATGAAGTAAATGCTACAAACTTCCCAGTATGCATGTAAGCTCCCTCATAGAAAACAGAGCTGCAGTGAAATCCTCCTCCTCCTCCGACAATAAGAAACTAGCATGTGCTTCTTCGCACTCGTCACCAATGCATCATATCACGGAAAAATCGCCGTCTCTCGATCAATCAACCGCGGATTTTCACGACTATGCAAGCTGCGAGTGACTGGTCGACGCAGTCACGGTCTGGAATTGTTCTAAACCGAGCGTGGGAGAGATTGGAGAGGAAGATAAGAAGAGGAGGGCGGCGGAGAAGAGTGCTGTGAAAGGGATGAATCACGGACGAGCTCGCGCTGCCGAAGAGATGCCTGGTCAGAGCGAGAGTGCTGGCATGAGAAGACGGCCTCCCTCGCGGCACAATGGCCAACCGCTGCCATTTCAGGACGGGTTGAAGGTAAAATATCATTCACCTCCCCCCCCCCCCCCTCCCACATTCCTCTTACTTCCCTCCTACCACCTTTGGATCTCCAGTCTCCTCCCATCGTAGGACTCCCATTGAACTATAGCTTCGACAAAATTAGGGCTTCCATTCGAGTACAGACCAACACTATTTCCTCCATGGAATTGAGGAATTTCTCTTTGTGCACTTGAGAAGCTAGTCAAGCTATTACTACGCGTTTTTTTTTTTGTTTGTTTTAACTCCCCGTCTTGGTAGCGTGGGTCCAGTTTCGCGTTCTGATCGGAAGAGAGGAGAAATGTCAAGCATTTTTTTTTTGTTTTTTCAGTAGCTTTTGAAATGCTCTTACGTCCAAACTGTGAGAATTCTGATGATCGCTGCAGAAAGAAGGGAACTTGGACCAAAGAGCTCTCATAAACCCTGATACATCTACCCTAGAGGCCTCGAGACACGGTGATCTGGTCCTTCGATGTCGATCTCGTTGCAGAAGATCGAGTGCTCTGATCGCAGTCTGCGAAGACGAATCGATGCTTTTATGAGACCTGTAAGCCGAGATTTGAAGAATTTGAAACATAGTTGACTCTCCTGGATTTTATTGGTTGGACGTCACCACAATTGGAACTGCTCAAGACAAGCCTCTGCTTCAAAGGAACTGTCCAGAGACAAAAAGTTGCGGGTGGTCGCTGTGGTTGAATCCAAGATTTTGCGATGTCGTGTCCCTTGCTTCCTGAGGATATGAAAGATTTTTCATCCGAGATCATGGCCTGAGTTCATAAAAGCAAAGGACGGAAAGAAATGCTCACAGTGTCGTGGTTTGAACCATCTGTCAAGTGGCGTAATGCGTCTCCTCTCCCTCTTCGTTCTTCTTTCATCAGACTTTTAACAGTATTGATGTGTGTTGTCATTGCTGTTGAAATGTTCCAAGAGATGGTTTATGATATATTTCTTGCGACCGCGCTGCAAGCAGGATCGCCACTGTAGTCGTCATGGATTTCGAATTTACGATTCCCTCCGCGCCAGCTGATTACATTGCTGAAGATGCCTGCAGTTTTGATGGATCAAGTTCGGATGATGGCTCCGCACGAGATCTCGGCAGCCAATTTGTGCCCTTGGTTGCCGCAATTGTAAGCATATTATAAACCTCGCTCGATTGTAACTTGGTCTGTGGACCGCTGCAGCGGAGCTACATGTGGGGACGGACTTCTCAGCTTGATGTCTTCTCAAAGGTCTCTGTGAAGAGGTCTGGCAAGATGGTATAAACTCCCAATTCGGCAAAGACTTGGACCATGTGATCAGATTTTAGTGCCAGGAGTGGTATGATTCGCTTAGGGTGTGGCACCGAATCAACCAAAAGCTCAATGATCATAAAGATTCTGAGGAGTTAATTCCTTCTTCATCGTCACCATTGGTGTTCGGTTGCTTCGCGGTTTTGTTGCCTCCTTTACGGCATTGTTAGGTTTTTATGCTCCTTGTCTTTCTACTTTCGAATATTCGAATGGTTTTCTGCCTTGGGCCAGAGGCTAAATTGTGTAATTAGACGTTGATGGGATACTTCTTTCCATGCAACTCTACAGGCCAGCATTGCAGAAGTGCTGGTCGATGCACCTGAGATTGGAGAGGAAGAAAGGGATGCAGATGCAGTGGATTCTTCACTGCTTTCTCCGGGGAGAGCAGCTTCAATTCGCAAAATTTGTATTCCAAGATTATTGGATAATTTCAGCAATCTTCTTACAAAGGCACGCCTCAGAGCATTGAAACAGGTCTCTGCAAACCAACTTTCTGATGGGTAAAGCTTAGGCTTTATTCATGCGTGATAGAAGGAATCATAGCATATGTGCAAGTTAAGGATGCTCCTGGTTAGAAGTTGGCTTGTATTTTAGCTCCTGTTTAGTGAACTGAATGCTCTATGTCCCAAATTTAGGATTTCTGCAAGTGATGTTCTTGTAGGATGGCGCAAGTTAAACACAAGGTCTAGAGGATATTTAGCTAAATGAATTCTTTTCTCACACATGTTTGTTGCAACCTTTCATGTGCTCAACCTGAAAGTAGTACCTCGGGTCATTTCAATATAGACACAATCCTCAAAAGAATTTCAGTGTACACAAGGTGCGGCCCCTAACACGGATTTTGGATACGGCAAGGATGGTAATTACCGTTGAACTCTTGCCTGTTCATATTTATCTCTCCTATTCCAAAACACTCTCTGCTCAAACTTCACCTCCATGTTCGGATCTAATTTTCAAGGATACTTCTCTATTGATATCTTTGCATCCTCTATTCCAAGCACTTTGTATCTTGTAAATTGTTAAAGTTTCAATGGCTTTCACACGGGTGTAGTATGCCTAAGCAAGTTGATAATATTCCATTGCTCTTTTTTTGTCTGCTCTAATGGTTACTGAAATTGTGTTCCTTACATGGCAGATTGTACATGCACCCCAGCCTATCAAGTGCGTGGAGGCCGATCTTTGACTGTATTTATTACTATCTGCCTCTAACAGGTAAAAGCAGTCAGTCTTGCGATCTTTGACGAGCATATGGGAGTCTGCTAAACAATTTCGGTCAAATCCTTCAAGAATAAAAGCAAACGGCGCTGTTTAATGAACAAATCTTTTGACTGCGTTTATATCACGTTTTTACAAGGGTAATATTTCACGTAAACTAAGTGCTTGTTCCCTCATTGCAGAATGGCAAGCGTGATTGAGAATTTTAAGAAAGCGTATGAAGGGGAAGGACATATGGTGCTGAAAATTCGAGTGGGTCTACCGGTAGATTTACTATGGCATCCTTCAAACTGATCTTTGTTGTTTTCGAACTTTGCGCTTGTTTCAATTCGCAATGCCTTCACCTTCCTTTCACTGTGCAGAGTATTCAGCAGAATTTGGGTTGTATGCTACTTGCAGGTTGAACATAACATTACATCTGCAAATTTTGTATGTTGGCGCCATCTCAATCTCAACCTAAAACATTCTTCATAGGAAGAGGTAATGAGTTTTCTGCAGACTACATTAGTGCAATCATATATCCTTTTGGTAACATTTTACTTCAATATCGCGTCGAGTAGGTCGCTCTAAGTTCTTTCACATGAAAAATAGTCGGTTTAAAGTGGATTTTCTGTGGTGATATTTTGTGATGTGTTTCTAGTATTGCTTTGGTTAAACGTCAAGCTGAGATTGTAATGGAAAGTTCTGAAATCTTAGATCGTTTATGCACGTATTAATCGACCCGGCGTATGTTTGAAACATTCTCCTTGTAATGACAAAGCAAAGAAGAAGCTTGGTAGTCGAAATGCAACTGCTAAGAAGGCAAAATCAATGCTCATAGAGCACAAAACTATTCTAGAGGGGTCACCAAGTTTAAAGACATTGTCTGAAGCGAACGAAACCACTCTGGATACGTCAAATTTAAAGACGTGCATTGGTGCAATCGAAGTTGCGGTTGAATCAACTTTCAGGGGTTGCACCTCAGAATCACCAGTAGTTGCAGAAGCACTGGATCTGAAAGAAGAACCTAAATGTTGGAGCATAACAAGCGGTTTGAAGTTGCAGTTGATTTGGAGGACAGCAAAATCCATCATCCCGAAGATCACTCGAGCATTAGTTTGGCAGATGCATCGGATAATTTTCCTAGGAGGTCAAAGTTGGTGAAAACTGCAACCTCGCTGCCTATTTCGACGAAAATCATTGATAAGGCATTGGCTGTAAGTCAAGGTTTTTTGGGAACTAAATGTTTTCCAGGGAGACCAGGAAATGGTATAAAAATTAGGGTACGAAGGACTAGATCACCTACGTTTCGAGAAGTGGCTGAAGTTGGTATAATTCCGCTGCATGGGAGATTGCTAGCGAGTGTACTTTATCAAACATTAAATGCAGAGATTCTCATTCAGAATTCCCTTTGATGTCATTATAAAGTATGTAAATGCAGCTGCTTCATTCATGTAAGTTCAAAATTTTTCTTGTAATAACAAACATATTCCTTGGTTTGAGCAAGTATATTAAAGCATTTGATAAATTTCACTTCGTTTATTTTAAGATTTTTTTTCTATACAAAGGGTTGGTGTAACAACTCTTGATCATAAATTAGAATATCGTACGACGCAAGAAACATGTATAACTGTTTAGTATTATCTACGGTCAACATAGTTTGTAGCATTTGGCTTGGTCAAAATATAATCAATGGACACACATAATATAGCACTCACCATGTCAATAACACGAAACACACTTTGCAAATATGCCAAATTTTACACACAAAATCCTTAACAGTTTTAACAGCACTGAGTTATAATGACATCAAAGGATTATTCACTTTGAAGCCTTAAAGTGAATCCATCTCTAGAGCTAGCCTTGAATGCATATCCAGATCAAAGTTGAAAAATTGGCAGTTTAATGCAGTGTAAACAATTCTACTACACAATTACAACCTCTTTTTAGTGGACCACCCCACGATAACAGGAATGCCGCCTCGTGGCTATGGAGTCAGGTCCATGTCAAGTGCTAGAGGAGTTCATTGCCGCTGCAACGAGTCTCACAAAATGCTGGATATTCCACATTTTCCCACATGTGGCTCATGGTGTTACCATGCCTAATATTTTATCAGAATATATGAAGTGCCACTTTCCTGAAATATTTTATCAGAATACAATCATCTCGACCTACTCCTGAATTTGAAAGACGTTGTTGAGAAGGTAGCTGATGCCATAAGCTGCTGCAGCTGCAATTCCACCGTTGAAGACAACAACAGCAATGGAGGACAACATATTCTGCCCTGAGATGCGAGCTTTTGCAGCACCGAGAAGACCAAGAGCAAGGATCGTCACAATGCAAGCTCCAAGGAACTTCAAGTCATTGTTGTTGGTGAAAGGCTTGAGTATCAAGTAAGTCAACAACGGTGTAGATCCAAACGCAAGGAATGATGCGAACGTGACAAGTCCATTTTTTAGAGGGCTATCCTCTGGGTCTGGTGGAAGGATACCCTGTGTCAGAGTCAGTTTTTGATCAACCATGATATCCTTGTATTTGGAGAGAACGTCAACAATCTGCACAAGCACTCAAACACAATTGGTAAGCTCAGTGTATTATGCTCTCGAAAATTATTCATCAATTAGTGACATTATATTAGAATAATTTCTTTGAGAATGTGAGATCGAAGAAGTGTAAGCAACACTAAATTCCGTAATCAATATACTGTTACCCCATCGATATCTCATTCTTTACAGTAAGAGTGATAATCTCATTCATGTGTGCATTTAAAAAAAAAAACTATTTCGAGAATAGTTTGGCACACAATACGAACCTTGTCAGCGTCATCTTTCTCCATCCCTTGTTCTTGATAAGCAGATACGAGCTCCATTATTTCGCCATGAATGTCATTTTCGGCCTCCCAGTCGCTAATAAGCTGTTGGTTTGCTGAGTAATCCTTTTCAGCTGTACTTGATAGATAGTCTCCATAGCCCATGGATATGCCATCTGCGATAAGATTTGCAAAGCCGAGAACCAAAACAGAACCTGCGAACATCCGCAATACTCCATGAGAAGGTCCTCTTCTCAATACCCAGAGAAGTATAAAGCCTTATTTATGTTTCTTTATGAAATTGTATCACCATCACATCGCATTCGTAAAAGAATCAATCCGAAAATACCTTAACATTCTGCAATACTCCACCGGAAAAGTTCAAATCTACCACCACGAAAAAATCAATATCTGCTAACAGATTATGCCTGCCTACCTAATCTCGATTTGCAAAATCTTAATCAAATACCGAAGCCTCGAGTCAAAGTCAGGCTTGAATGCGTTTAAAGATACTCCTGAATTCTCAATATCTCCAGGAGTCACAACCTAACCATTGGAAACCATACTCTTTAATTCAAAACACAAAAACATCGTACTCTATTCCCTCAGACACATTCCAAATCCCGTTTCGAGTCCGATGGAGTATAAGGACACATGCACTGTATTCCACATTCCCGAACAGCGCAAAATTTGAAGGCAGACTTAATACAGAAAAAAAAGAACGACCAAATAACCTGCAGGAAGATCTCCTCCGGAGACCGAGGCCACGAGAGCGAAACTGGTGACAATGGCATCCAATCCACCGTAAACAATACTCTTCAAGTACTCTCCACCCCATCCCGCATTCGCCGGCTTCACATTTCCAACAACCCTGGAGTGGCGGCTGGAGTTGCCTTGCTCTACATCCCCCCGGCCTCCCTCTTCAATCAACGGCTCCTGAATGCCAGATTTTCGTGACTTCAACGACGAGGCCCGCCGCTTGAACTTGCCACCCTCGTGCCTCCAGCTCTTCTCCTTCTCCATTACACCCCCTTTCAATCCAACCTCCGAAAGTGTTCGTGCTGCGGACAAATCGAGCCCCCGACCTCGAATTGCCTCGGCTAGAAGTGCCAAAGGGAAGAAACAGCAGCTTGATGAGAAAAATAAATTAATAAATAAAAGCAGTAACACCCAAACGAGAGCGTAGATTGGGATTTATGTATGAAGGAAGAGGTTGTGAATCTGGTGCGAGAGAGACAGGGTGATCTAACAGTAGGAGATTAGCCTCGTTGCGATTGCGCATGTTCAAAAGGGAGGGCGGGGTTGACGAGTGCCGCCAGCGACGATGACACTTGTTCCGATGGAGCCTTCCCACCAGGCGTGGGTGCGGTTTCTGGGTTCGCGGTCACGTGGACTCCCTCTCTGGGATCCACGTCTACACTTCCCATTCGCAGCCAGATTCCCTTCCTTATAATCCGATTCCGGGCAGTCTATATTTCTGGGCACCTGCCAAAATATGCAATGTACACACACACAAATATAGAAATGGGGACCTTTGCTCTTCAGTACATCGTTTATATTTGGAGATGTTGATATAAAAATATAAATAAAATATATATATATATATATATATATATATAAACATATTTTTTTTATTCTAAAATTTGCTCATGTAAATAGAAAGTAATATAAATTTTAATTTTATGATATGTTATTATTTATTTTATTTGGAGGAATATTATTTGAAATATTTAGATTATATGAAACACTAATAACTAAGGTGAAATCATACGAGGTATTTTTTTTGGTTTTATTTTACTTCTTACTTGCTTTGTCTAACATGTATAAAATAATAATAATAATAATAATATAAAAAAAATTGTCTTCAGTTTAAAGGGCATTATATCCTCTTACTTGTGATGGAGCAATGCCACTTTTTTTTCAGAGATTTAAGAAATAAACCTCCAATTCATGTTATATAAAAAACAATTATGTAGTAGTATAGGTAGACACCTTTCATCTTATGTAATGTCATCAATTAAAACTATACATTATTAATATTATTGAATTAAATATCAAATTTCACATTCTACATTACAAAACTCATTGATGTTTGTCATATATCATAGATCCATTTCTTGTACCTACTTAGTTTACAACTATTTTTGCATATAATAATAGTGTTGCATGTTTATACCTTATAATAAGGGGTTTCAAACATGGCACTTTTGCAAAACCAAATAACTAGGATTCAACACTAGGATTCACTTACAATATCAAATCCAAAAATATCACAATTCAAACTTTGTTACTCCCTTGGTATGAAATCAAAGAGGGAAGAGAGTTGAGGCAAGTGACATAATTTTTGATATTTGACTTGCCCCTCTTTTGATATTTTGATTTTGAACTCACCCACCTTACAAGGTGGGTGATTTGGTAAAGTATCAAATGATATTTCAAAATATCATGGGATACTTCAAGCTTGCATCACAAGTGAAATATCACCCAAAAAGACCATGTTTGAAACCCCCTAATAGTTATATTTCATTAATAGTTATATTTCATTAATAGTTATATTTCATTAACAGTTATATTTCATTAACATTTACATTTCATCAATGTTATGTCATCTTGTTATAATACAATCTTTATCAGATGTCTTCTTGTTTTCTACAAGCTTGGTTTTTATAATATGGTAGATTTTATCTAGATTCAATTGTATGCTTTAGCATATGAGACATTTTCTTTTATATATTATTTATATTAAGATAATTTATAAGGCTGCCATTTTATTGTAACAACTTTTTTATGTAGCAAAAATATTTAGTACAAATATGATTTTGTTTTGAATCTAGTTTTGGCAAAATAACAAAGTTTTTTTGGAAGTATTAAGAGGTAGGCATAGCTTTCTTTGATAAATAAATTCTACTAATATTTTCTTATGAGCTTATATAGATAGATTAAAATAGAAAATATTATCTTTAAACTATACTATGAATAACTAAAACTTTCTATAATTATCATTTAAAAATATTAAATCACTGAAACTTAGAAAGATATTAAAAAAATCATTTGAATTGTTAATTTAAACAAATACATCAAATGTAAAAATAACAATGACTTTGCCTCCTTAATACTAATTGAAAATGATTAAAATACAAACATAAGATAAATTAAGTTTTAATAAAATAAAAACATTTTTTTAATAAATAAAATTGATAATTTTAAAAAATAATTTTATGTGATATATTTCATAAAAAAAATGTCATATATATATATATATATATTTACTAGCATCTATAATTAATTTTTAATTATCTATTGCAAGAGACTCAAAATATATTAGTATTTTTTTTGAAATAATTCAAAATATGTTTGTTTTTTCTGGAATAGTATCTTATTGATTTCTTATAAACATATTTGAATTTTCTTATTCTCTTTTTTAAAAAAGTTTATTAATGCGCAAAAATTAAGTACTTAAATCTATTTGTAAATGCATTATTTACTTATTGAAAACAAATAAGAAGAAAAGCCTTCAATACTTTGAAGAGAAAAAAATAATTTTCATAAATATTAATACTATTTACGTTTTAAAGTAGTTCTATTAAAATTTCAGAAATAAATGATGTATTTTAAAATTAATTATGTGATTTAAATTTGCAAATTTTGAAAGAGAACTTTAAGCATATTATCATAGTTAAATGGCTATGGTACTTTTACAAATAAAATAATTAAATAAAAAAAAGCAAACATTATATGCAGGAAAAATATGAAAAAAACTTAGAAGAAGTATTGGTACGACATGAAATAATCAAAATCAATGGATATTATATCTTTTTCTTCCAATTGATTAAAAATAAAATAAAATAAAAAATAAAAAATAGAATGCTTTAAAAGTCCTCTTCTTTTACTCATTAAAATCTTAGAAGCTTTTCATTCAATTCTAATGCCAATATAATGCTCTATACTAATGATTTACTTTTAATGCTACTATCTGTTAAGTCTTCATATGTTTTCTTCTTTCAACCAATTAAAAGCCAAAAATCAAAATTCTCATAAACTTTTTTATTTCATCTAGACTTCAAAAATAAAATAAAATAAAATAAAAAATAGGGTTAATAACTACATAATTAGTATGAAAATGAGGTTTACACCAAGCTAACAATTCCCAAAAAATATATGTAAAGAGTTTCAATAATATAAATAATGTGCTGGTAATCTACTTAGTAAGAAACTTACATTCCAAAAGTAATATAAAAGAATAGGGAATTGTTTTAGCGAAGCATGAATTAAGTTATATAAGATATAAGGGGGATACCAGAGGGCGTTAGGGAGGTGGAAGATCCAAAGCCCATCCAGGGATTCGATCCCGCGTGCGCGAGTGTGAACGCGGTCATGACGGTCCTCCAAGATAACTAGTTTCTGAAACTCCCCGTTCACACGTGCGTGAGCTCCCAAGAATGCGAAACCCTGTCGTAACTGCCACCCGAGAGCCAATCGTTCTCGACCGATATAAGCCGTCAGCTGATGACCACAACGGACGGCACCGATTGATGCCAGAGTTCCGAAGCGCGGGGGGGGGGGGGGGTATCCGATAATGGGCGGCCGTCAGGATTCCTCGATTGTGCACTGTCGGTCGCGGCTGGAATTGCTAAGCTTCGTTTAGTTGGAAGAATTCGCGACGAACTGGACGCGGAGTTCGTTGGGATGGGAGATCTCCGGTGACGGAATCAGTTGGGCTCCTCTATCATGGGACAGATGCCTGGCGACTGTTATCAGCTGGGCGGCTTTTCGTTACGTCGTGAGCTCCAGTCATGCCCTCTCGCTTAGCGTACACGATTCTCGTTCTTCTGTTCCGTCGGTGTGGTTCTTTGAATCTTCGTGACAGTTTGCAGATGGGGTTGTGAGTGTGGTGTTTAAAAAGCTGATGAGGGGGAGGGGATTTTAGAAGTGAGCATGAGAAAGGAGGTGGTCCATTCCTTCGTCAAGGTCATTTAACCGACTCGGAGCTATCCTGGTATTGCTCTCCTGATGTTTGAGAAACAGAGCTGGGGCTGTGGAAGGAGAGAGCATTATGCTGTTGCAGTGTCAGAGGGCGTGTAGAACTTGCGGGACGTAGAGAAAGGTTTGCAGATGACAAGAAAGTGTGATAGCTGTCGGTAGGACTCAGGAAGCTTTCGTCGTCCTTCGAGCAACATCAGAAACATTCAACTCGTGGTAATTGCAAGAATCTTCCAAGAACCCTTGTTGAGTCCCATTCATGTCGTGTATGAAACTGAAAATATTGCAGTACGTAGTGCCAAGACCTCGTAGCTCATTCTCCAGCTCAATTTTCCTATGCACCCAGCAGCATCCGAGTACGGCTTTACGCTCTTGTGCTTGAAATCTTCGAATTAAAAGTGTTGAAGATTGTGTAAGTCTCTTCAAGTTCTGAGAATAAGCCTCCTTCAGTCATTGGATTCTGGTGCAAGTTATAACATATTTGAAATCTTGGATCACGCTCCCATGAAGTACTCCCAGTACTTTCTAATGCAGGACCAGCAGAGAGCTTCACTTCTCAACAACCCGCACTTCTGGGACTCTTCCCATCCCTCATCTGTTTATGCTACCCCAAACAACAATATGTACAATAATCCTGGCCAATGTCAGCACTTGGCATATCCTGCATACTATGTGGACAGTCCCTCCACAGTTGCTCTAGACATAAACTCAGACAACTTCGGATACGAGGAAGATCAGAGAACCTCTGAGCGCTTGTCAGAGCCATTCAGTGCCAGCTTGTTGAGCAGAAGCACCTCCTTCTTGAGCAATTGCACATCGGAACGTGTCTCTATACCGGATGTATCGGCCCGTCGACAGTCTTGGTGCAAGTCGATACAGGAATCGATGGCGACGAACAAGTGGGAGACATGTGACGAGGAGATGAGTTTGGAGGCCAAGGGCGAGAGAACTCGACTAAGGTGGCTTGACATTTTGAAGTCTTTGATCTCGTGGTTGTGTATCACAGTCTTACTCGTGGGATTCTTAATGGCACTCTTTACTTCCATGTACTGGCTTATTTGCCACCCTCAAGCACCTAGCACCACTTTTAAGGTGGGCAGTTCTTCTTGCACTACTTTGCATTTTCCACTAACGGAGGGCCCATCGGCAAGAATCTGTTGGAGGGAGAATTGAATCATTTGGCAAGAAGTAAAGAAGGTCAATTACAAGTTAGATGCAGTAAATTCCAATTTGCAGCACACGAAAAATAAACATGATGGCTATCACCACATTTTCATGAAGTTTACACATTTATATGATCTACCTATGTGCCGTTGCGTAGTGTAATGGGAATATATGTTAACTTGAAATTGAGAGTGGCAATTCTTTGTGGGTGAAAATCCATATAGTGTCATACAATGTAATTTTATTTCAAGGACTGACAAACTTTATTTTTTACTTTTTTACTTTTTTCCTCCAACTGCAGGGAGTGGAGTTTCAAAGTTTTAACGTCATGCAAGGATATGATCGAACTGGCGTGCCCACTGATATGGTCAACTTGGATGCAACGGTTAAACTATCTGTCAATAATCCCTCTAAATATTACGGCGCGTTTGTGAGCGCCCCTGCTGTCCACCTTTCATATCTCCCAAGATCCATCGCACATAGTCAGGTACAAGTATGACAAATAATCTTCCGTAAATGAAGCTCCAGCTGTTATATGCTTTCGTACTAAGTCCTTTCAATAGAAGTTTTATGCTCTCGGAGATCATGTTTGCGAATATATGTCAAAAAATTGGTTCGAAATTTAAAAAAGAAATCACACTACGAAGAAACATTAAGCTTAGCATGTACTTGTCAGGTGCCAGGCTTCTACCAAGGCTGCAATTCAGAAAGGGACATTATAATTAAAGCAAATGCTGAGTACGAACCTTTGTATGGAGCGGGGCCGAGCCTTCAGCAAGCAATGCTGGAGAATCGGCACATCCCACTCGGCCTCATTATCTCTCTGAAGTCACACGTCAACGTGTTTGGCAATATTGTACTGAAGTACTTCATTCAAACCCACGTCTGCAACGTTATGCTGAATCCAAATACTGGGACAGTAACTGCTACTTACTGTGAACCTCCGAGAAAGCAAGAGGGCTATGACATTTCTCGCTTTAAAAGGCACTCTCCATGACCGGGTCTGTGTGCAAGGAGCTGAATGCTTCTCGTTGAAAGTCCTCAAATCTAGTAGACTTCAAACATGCCCAACAGTTGGTCAGACTTTGCAATCATTCTCGACTGCCAATTCTGCATGCACTATAACTGAAGGTAGTTCTACGAGCAGTCATTTTCAAATGAGAAGATACTATTCTTAGATTGAAGTTTACGGATAAGATGCTGTAATGTCTTGACAATAGATAGAGAATCTAAAAATAAATGATACCCAACATATCACCAACAAATCTGAAGAAATTTGAAGCAAAGAGGTTGTTTTGGAAGTAAAAGTCTAACAATTAAAAATTTAGTAGAAGTATAATAATAGGAGAAACTGTTTGCTTAATCAATTTTAAGAGTCTACAAATTTTAGCTGTATATACCAACTACTCAACACACCGAGTCTCTGTGTCTCACTTATCGAACACATCCACCGCATACTTTTATTTTGAAATGGCTGGTTTAAAGTGAGAAAAGCCATCAACACTGTTATATATCTAATGGACAGCTAAGTGTACACATCCTAATAGAGAAGCCTTAGCTCACGAGAGAATATTCATAAATGTTTCAATTATCTGAAACAGTCTCGTATACATATCACCACATTGAAATACTTCAATGCTAACAAATCTTGTAAATGATCTCAACCAGGATATATAGTAAAAATTTCCTCCGACAGTTAAGGTTAAGTGTAGCGTAGGCAATTCCAAATAGGCTACGCATGCTGAAGAAAATCTACCAATTTTCAGACCTACAAGGGTGAGAATCAAATAAAATGAAAACTAAAATGACTTGTTGAATGAATATCAAGACTGTAACAAGAATGAAATGTGCAAATCTCTTTCATTCCACATATGACGCTCCTCCAAGAGTTCTGTCCTGCAAAAATTGAATGGGTGTTCTAGTGCCCTCCTCCAAAATCGAACGTCTAATGCTGCACATTTTAAAAGACCACATTCTCAGTCCCTCCCTTAACACTGAAACATCATGAGAACAAGAGATACAGAACACATCTCGTACTTCAGCGTATAGCCTTAGTGAAGTGAGCTCGACAATGTCAAAAATAGACAGCATCAAGGCGGCTAAAAAGTTTACACAAACATCGAGGATTACCACTAATAAAATTATTATGTAAGGAGGTATCAAGGGAGTGATAGGTACCTCCGCGATGAATTGTGATGTACCTTCAAATGCTTCAAGAAAGGCTCCAGGAGCCCCTGCACACGAATGAGATATATTCGAAAGCAACCCACGCTTCGAAAGGAGAGAACGGTGGAAAAGCTTCTGTTTTTGGCATACAAAACGGGAGATCAAAACTATAGATTAAGATTGTACCAATTTTTGCGGAACCTGTGAGATGTTTTTGTCGGAAATGTTAAAGTTTCCGAGCGAGTTAAGCAAGTTACCTACTGCAACATGAAGTCTGATGTAAAATTACTGAGTCAAATGTTGCTTAAAGTAATTGAATGCAAGAGAACACACTTCCGTTAGAAGACTCATCATACCTTAACTCAAGCTGACGAGTTTAGGAAATGATTGGATTATGTACCTCACAGAAGGGGTTGTTAGCAAGATGCACATCTTGGAGGCTTGCTATGCAGCGATAACTGCACCAAGACACTCCACAAGCTTGTTATATGACAGCATTATAACCCGTGCAACCAAAAACATCAGAAATCATCATTCCAAACCAAAACAAATACTACGGGATGTGCAATAGAATTTGTTTCTGAGATGTGATACTTTACAGCTCGTTGAGGTTTTTATTCAAGCCAACTTACCTCCAAAACTGAGCACACGGAAAGCTCAGTTGGCAATGTCTTGATCTGGTTTTGAGTCAGATCTAGAGTTGTGATGCCAGCTGCTTCCCATGCTGCTGGAGGAACTACCGCGAGATTTTTCTTTGTTAAACACAGAACCTAAACATGTAACGTTACTTCTAAAGAAAATACCAGATAATTCATAATAATGAATAATTTTCAAAGTCTTAAATATATTCTTATTTTGAGGTGCTTTGCAAAGGGCTGATAGTATCGTCTCCATCAACAGCATACAATTACGGGCACACAACTTTTGAAGTGTTAGACGAATCACTACGAAAAGACGAATGTCGCAAGGTTGAAATGGGTTCAACACAGATAACCCGTCCAATTACTATGCGTGGTTGAAAGAGTATGTAGGCGGCTATCTACGCATGAAAAATGCAGCAATTAAGACTACTCGGTGCAAATCTGAAAGTAGTCACTATATTACTCAATAGAGGTTCATAACGCACAACTTAAGTGTGGTGATTATTACAAAACGGGACACATCTTGGACATCTCAATTTTTAACTAGTACAAGATGTCAGCCTAAGATCAGAAAACCTTCAAAGACGTACTGAATCCATCACCCATTCGTTTTAGTTCTTGTCGACGAGACACATCAAACTCACTTTTCTTCACCAACAGGAAGCTTTATTTTTCAACGGAGCTACCTTCACTTAATGATAAAAATGCTTCAACCCAGTCACGAGAATACAACTTCAGCTCTGCGTTATTCAAATATTCGATAAATCATATTTCACATTTCTTACCAAAGGAACTTTGATGCAAAGCACAGGGACGAAGCTTGACAAGCAAGGAATCTCCTCGAATACCCTCGCTTACACCTCCTATCTATAAACTACGAAGTCATTGAGAACCAGGCAATGCGATTGATTCATGAATAAGAGTACAAGGGAACAAAGTGTTTTCCATGCCGTGTCAAGCTCAGACGTCACCCACCGGAACCACGAGTTCGACTTTCCTACTTCCATGACCAATCCACAAAATTCAATTCATGGAAATTTCAGCTAACACTTACTATGAAGATAATTACGCACCTCGTCCACGTAATGGATTGAAAAGAAAAACGCAAGCGGTCCATAAACTACGAATTCTGAAAAAAAAAAGCTCCGAAGCTTCTATCTCGTCGTTGTCGTCGGTGTCGGTGTCGCCAAAGCGTCGTAAGGATTCACTAATACGAAATTACGATTCTCATCTATATTGGATGGATGATCTGTATCTGAATTTTGTGTGTGCACGCCTCCCACACTTTGAGTAACCCTAATAAAGCATAAAATTAGCCCCGGAATTCAACTTTATATTTGGCAACGTGAGAAGGTCAATGTTGGAATAGGATTTGAAGCAAGGCACACAGTCTTTAACAAAAGTTCCATGAATTTCTACTTTTTAGAAATAAAATACCATGGTAATGTCAAAATGGGATTGACTTGGAATTAAAAAGATGCATATCTGCAATGGCTTTTTTTTTGGGTGAAAAATTACATGCCTACAGAAGAAAAATTTCTATGGATATTATAATAAAATCAACCAGTAAATATTAATGTCAAAAAGCCAAATTATTTAATTCATGGTGGGTTTCTGTCACAGTTTGCATGCTGTTTTTCATGTTGTTCTCAGCAACCTATATTTCAAGGATATATGTGTGAATATATGCATATATATATATATATATATATATATAATCATCACTTCCCACAAAGCATTTCAAATACAATTTGGATTTTTGTTACATATGATTACATTTGAATGATAAACAAAATAAAATAAAGACATTATATATTTGTATATATATATATATATATATATATAATATTTTTGTTCAAATAAGAGATATCTAATGTAAGATAGTCTTCGATTGCATGGAACGAAAAGTTCTTTGTCATGAGGCAATTCTATAATCAATAATTGCTAATTGATGGGCATTAATGGAGAAACTATGCTAGTTGTACTTATTGATTAATGTCATGCACAAAGATGGTTGTTAATCCATTCAATGATAACATTGTTGTCCAATTCTAATGCCAAGTTTCATAAATTAGACTCTATGGGCCTTTGCTTCTTCTACTCTATTTTTACTTTTGTTTCCATGAAACCAAGATGTTGTCAAACCAAAGTTTCAAAATTAATATAGCACAAAAATTGTATAATTTAGACCAAATTGTATGCATCTCTTTGAAAAAAATACTCAAATGTTGTACGTAAGTTTATTAGAGCTTTGAGCTTGGTATTTAAGGTCTTACATAAAACCATTATTGCATCAAATATTTTTATTTATTTATTTCTATTATTCAGTTATGATTTTTTTTTTTTTAGTTTAATACAATATCATCTTTGAGTGACCTTTTAGTCTTTTTAAGTGACACAAGATTTTATTGATCTTTTAGTTCTTTGAGATTTATGTTCTTGATAATTTGACAAGAGTGCTAACTCATTATTCTTGTTTTGTTCTAAAAATGAATAGATTATCCTACTCTTATTATAGTATTTTTAAAGATTACAAACTATCCACCTTTAAACTAAATTTTAATTTTCTAATACTAATTTATTTTTTAAAAAGAAAACATTATACCTATTTGTAGAAATTTTTATTTAATATTAGAAATTATATATTATTCTCATATAATTTGACTTTTGAATTTGTTTGAGTTATCTATGGAAGAAAAAATTATGGATACTACTATTAATAGAAGTGAGAATAGATTTATAACTATTACAAATCTTCACGACCTTGACAATACTCTTAAGATGGAAATCTCACATATTTTTGACATTAATTATAGAAGTACTATTCCTATGTCTATATAAGAAGTCAACAATGGAGTTTAAAGTCTCTTCTAAGAAATTGTGCAATTAAGAAAAGCAAATAGATTAAGTTTACAACTTTATCCAAGAAGTCTTGCTACTATAAGTATAAAAGAGATAAGGATAAGTATGTTCAAGAAGTTTGATGGAACGAGATTAAAATTTTAAAGGTTTTTATAATGAATGAAGCTTTATATAAAGCTGCATCCTTTCCAATACCCTAAAGGATTTATTCAAGTCAAATTCATAGCTATACATTTATTTAAGAGTGCTCTTCCTTGGTTTATACTTTGATGGAAAAAGATTCATGAATATTTTATAATTTGAATTCATTCATAGAAGTGTTTATGACTATATTTAGAAAAATTGATTAAAAAAATAGTAGAGACCAAATATCTATCTTTATAAGAAGGATATGTTTAGCTAACATATATACTATAGAATTCCAAAACCTTACTTGCAATGTGGATTGGAATGACAAAATCCTTACTAATCAATTTTGATATTGGTTGAAAGATGTTATTAAGGATTTATTGTTAAAAATGCCAAGAATAGACTTATAAGAGTGATTTATTGCTCTAGTCATTACATGCCACAATTGATTCTTTGAAAGATGCTAAGAACAAAGATTTAATTGGAGAGGTAGAAGTCAAATCATGGCAACACCTTATAAGTTTTTGGAAGTTTATTCATTCAAGCCAAAGCCTATGCAAATTGACACAATATGTTTCAAACTTCTTATTGAGCAAAAAAAGATTCAATGATATCAAGAAGGTTTGTGCTTATATGGTAGAAAATCCTAGTGCATTGCTCAATATTATCTAAAGAAATAACTTAATCAAAAAATAAAGAATATGCATTTAGTAGCCTCAGTTTATTTTATATATAAATATTTTGTC